CTTCCGATGCTTCCATTGCGCTCCAAGAGTTTCGGACAGGGAGTTCTATCTTTTCCGCTCATTAAAGCCATTATGGAGAAGCTCCCGTTAGCCGCAGGACGCACGTGACCTGAGCTCGTCCTGGGCATCGAGACACCAGTCCTATCTCCTGCTAGATCGTCCTTCTTTTTTCGACAAAGACTCGTCCTAATCATGCTCGTTTCAATCATGGTTTGAAAAGCAGCGGGGTCGCCGAGCGTTCGTCGCTCCAGGATAAAACTCGTCATCGCAGGGTATGAGTGCGAGGACGAGGAGAACGGAGGAGATTCGGAAGATGATGCTCCTGCTGCCAGGAACATACTACTATGGTGTAGTCAGCAACATCCTGCAAGCAGCGAGCGCATCGACCAGGGCGACAGGGACATGAATCATCGTGACGATAGCGTGCCATCGGCACACGTGCAAGGCGATGAGGGACGGAGTATCGGCGCCACTTCCGAATGAAAAAATCGAGAGCGAGCGGATCTTTCAGGATATCGTGAAGTACGCTTATTAGTGACGGATGCAACTCTCACGGGAGATCACGATGGCGACGACGACGCTGACACTGATTACGATGATGAAACGGACGATGGCAATGATGACTAATAATCATGATGATGAATACTAACAGCCGGCTTCGAGACTCGAGGGTAGCATGAGACAAGTCCCGCTCTTGGCAACCCAGCCAAATATTGAGGTGGTCGAAATTCCTCAGCTCCAAACCGTGATGAGAGAACGGAGGGTAGAACCAAATTCCAATTACTGCAGAGATCTCCCGGTGAAGATTATGAGGCGGCAAACCTGCCTCGGAATGTTACCCTTTTCAATCTTTCCTCCCCCCGTCCCATATTTCGCATTGAACCCTCTCGGCCCTAACCCCTCAGCTTCCCCACCGACCTGATCTCACTGCGTTCCTCCAGCGGAATAGTTGTTTTGAGAATCCTGAAATGCACATGTCCTGCCTGCCCAGAAGGCATGTGTAGAATTGATGACGAATGTGGCGAATTCATCCGTAAGTGCTCATATTGCCGCGCGAAGATGGATATTGCCGTCTATTCAATGTCGCCCTCCGCGCCCCGCTCATCGACCCGGAGGATATCACCTCGTGTCTGAATGGAGAAAAAGAGACTTTTGGTGACATCATCATCATCCTCATCTCCTCCAACATCATCATCAAGAGTCTCCTCACAGAAGACTCCTGTATCGCATCTAGGGATCCATAAGAAGCTCGCTCTGCCCCTTTCCGAGGCGCGCACCCAAGGGCATTTTATCAGCTTGCCGTCGTCATTGTTGAAGAAGTTTGTAACATTCAGGACAACATCAGGATGACTTGGATGAGTCAGATGCAGGAATCAATGAGGCCTCGGGCAGGTGCAGATTTTCAATACGCTCCGGCTGCTCTGAGTCGATGTCCTGCGTAAGCGACTTGCTTTACACGCGGGCTCGACTCTTTCAAAGGCCGAACGAGCGGGCGCGCGAGTGCTCCTCGGCGAGAGATTTGGCATGTTGATACACGCTAACAACAGATTTGATGCGTACGGGTGATTGACATTGGGTTTCAGAGCAGGCCATGTACGTGGGACAAGCCGCCGGAGAGTGACCATATTTTCTTTCCTCCATCGGGAGAGCAAGCGTGTATGAAGCTCGACCGCACGGTGCAGCGACGGCCGACGAGTTGGATGGAAGGGGGAACGGTCGGTCGGTCGATCGGAGAGACAGGTAGATCCCCCGGTTATCCGCCAGGTAGTGTGTCAGGGAACTGAAAGAGTCACGTTGTACTATTCATCAATTATTCCGATGAGAAAGAGGGGACTTGCTCGACCGCAGGTAGCTCCGAGTCGTGCGGTGGCGGTCATAGCCATTGAAACGTATTGCGAAGCTCCGGCAAGTTATGAAACCTCGTCTCGATACTCTCATTGGAACGCCGAACTTTCGACGTATACGTCAAATGCGTTCTGAGAGTCGTGCTCGTTCCTCCTCCACTCGGATACCTTGTCCGTTTGCACGCTTGAATGGCCGGCCGGCCTCGAGCATAGACCTGCTGTCCAACTCGGGATCGTCGATCGATTCTCCGTCGTGCCACCGCATCGATATGGACGGCTTCAGATCCGTGCTAGAAATATCCCGATGGGAACGGACGATCGACCGTTCGCCAGAGAGGAGAGTATGCTGTGAGTTGTATGTCATCGGTCAACGGTGCCGAAGCCATAAAGTCAACTGCGGTGAATCACAAGTGGGCTTGTACGAGAGAAGCTTGTTCTGACGGTCAAGAGCATCTCTCATAAACATTCGCTGTTTCGGAAGCCAATTTGCTTTCGAAGGCTCGCAGCGCTGGGTGCCGAATCATATCGAGCCCAGCAGGCAATGGGAGCGCTGTGTGTCCCCCCACCCCCGTCTTCCTCATGCTGTTAAAGCTCCTACTTGTATTTCTAAATCTCGTACATACTCGCATTGCCTCTCCGAGCTCCTCTCGTGGGTTTTATGTATCGAATATAATCAGCATCACAACAGTGTCCGCATGATCTACTGCGATAGCGCCGCCCAGCGAGAGTCCTTCTTTTTCTCGTTCCTTTCGTCTGGGCCTCAGATTGTGTCGTTGCCTGATTTTATCAATTTCATTGTTTGTCATCCCGGTAGAGCCTCTTCCCGATTTCGCTCGGACAACTCGACTGACTCGATAGTGACCGTGTTTTTTTTTGAAAGATTTTTTCCACTTTCCAACATCCAAAACATGAGCGTCTCGTACAATTGTCGAAACTCATGCGGCTGGCGCTTATTATGTTCTGATTCCGTCCCAGAGATTGATTGATAGATCGACCTGCTCTCGGATCTAAATCACCGTTTGGAACCATTTTCGGAAGAGAAATTGCTTTTGACTCCGGAGCATAAATTTCGGGTAACACCGTCAGGTTTTGCTGCAAATAACCATCTGTCACTGAGCGGTGGAACAGACGAATGGCTGATGAAAAATTCGAAAGTCAGTCGAGCAGGCTTCCTGTGTAACATGAAACCTTCGCATGGACGCTGAGGATCCAACGAGAATGCATAAGCTAGACTCAAAAATCGAAGGAGACGAAAAGTGAAGACCCTGCGAACTTTCGAATGAACGGATAAGTTTCCGAGTCTCCTCATTCGACCGGTCAATTTCAGCAGAACGCCTGCGAGATCGTCCTGGCAGTGCGTTGGGAAGTGAGGAGTGAGCCATCTCCACAATTCTGATTGCATCCAGTTTTCGTGTCTCCTGAACCCGGAACACAGCTCCTCAAACTGGCAAGAACTCTCCTATGAATCCCTTCACATCTGGTCCGGGTGAGCCACAGGGAGGAAAGAAATCGACTATCGCGAAAAAGAATACGCGGTTCACGTGAAGTCCCTTCAACTCGGGCAACCTTTTATCTTTGAAAAAACGCTAAATCCGAATTGGAATCAAAGCCGAATATCCGAGAACTCAGAGGAGCCTCATCGGGAACTTGATGTCAAGGCCATCGAGCCCAGGGCAAATAATTCATAATTTCGAACCGTCAGAACGCGACTTCCGGGAATAAACAGCGAGACGCCAGTGAATCGTTCTACGATCTCGAGGGTGGGTGGAGTTTTGAGGCAGACCGAGACAACCTCCGAGCCCTTGTCGGAATCCCGTCATTTATCGCGGGAAGAAGACCCGACAGAAAATCTGAAAAGTTCTGTGTGGGAGAGCGATGTTTACATACGGTATCAACCTTTGAGCCGAAAGGAGGAAACTTTGAACTTCAAACCTAATACGGAACGTCGCAGAAGAAAATCCGACGGAGAAAGATTTCCCCGGCCATCTCTCCCCGTCCAGCCGAATCTGTGAATGCAGCGACATTGAACGCTCCTATCTCACGCACATTAGACGCGTCCTGTCCGAGGATCTGCTCTCTCCGGGCTCGCCGCACGGACGTTGACGATTGGCTCGGTCGTCTGTCCTCAGCCCTCGCGGATTCGGTCGACGATGATCAAGAAAAATTCTCTTCCAGGTTTCGGAACGGATGATACCTTCTCTGAAAACTCAATCTCCTCATGGGGAGGACTTCGAACAGTCTTTTGCAGGCCCCGAGAAACCTCATCTCGCTCAGAATGAGACCACGGCGCGGCGCAGAGCTTCGTCTGTAGGAAACATTCAGCGACATTGGAGAGAATCTCGACCGCTTACAATGTGTCCGCCGCAGAACGAATGAATCCCCGGTCCAAATGATGGCCAATCAATCGAGCCGCGGTCGCTCTCTGACTTTCTACTCCGGTCGGAGGGGAATCCCAATCCGTCGTCGCCTACAACTCATTACCTCTCCGAGACGGCTTCTCGTCCGATTCCTTACTCCGCTATTTTCACGGAAGATCGCGCGTCGGCGAGACGTTCCTCTGTGGATCCAGAGCTCGAGACCAGATGGTTGCATTCCCCACCGTGCTGTAAAGCTTATTCCAAGCGTTGTCCCCCGTTGCCCGGCTTCGCAGCGTCGGCCGGAGGTGCATCCGATGAGGGTGTTTTGGGTTCTGTGCCAGCCGACCAGATTCTTCGTCCAGCCGCTTAACTGCGACGACACGGTCGTAAATGCTCTCGAGAAGGTCCTCGCTCGTTTCTCGGAATAGTTGTAAACAGAAAGACCAAAGTTTCCAACCCTCGAGGACAGATTCGACTCCTCGCCCGCATTCAATTCAATTAAACGACTGGATTCAAATCAATAAAAAAATTCAGATGACCCCAATCGATGTCAGCGTGGGTGATGCCGCAGCATTTTCTGTGGCAACACTCCGCGCGCTCGCGAGACGAAAAAAACGATTCCGGTGTCGGATGAAGCGGTTCATTTGACAGTATCATGTATCGAGTACAAATGGAAAATGTCGGACATGCATACCCACACTCCGAGAAGTCGCGCCGACGGATGCCGAGCTTGAATCCGTCACGTCCTCTCGGGAGCTGAACAGCGATCTTCATCTAGGAAACACCTCGAGCTTGAAGGATGCGTCAAGGTGACGAGAGCGTGAAGTGTCCGCGTAGAGTCTGCAACCGAATTCTCTCGAGCAAGCGAAATCTGCGAGACCATCTTCTGCGGCATGACGGCTTCAAAGCGCATTCGTGCTCTGTCTGCCCAATGAGGTTTGTGACTTCGATGGAATTGAAAACTCATCACCGCGTTCATAGCGGAGAGAGACCCTTCTCGTGCTCGGAGTGTCCCGCCACGTTCACCCAGAGAAGCAATTTGATCACGCACTTCCGTACGCATACGGGGGAGTCGCCGTTCTCGTGCCGAGAATGCTCTGCCGCTTTCAAGAGTAAATCCTATCTCAATCAACATGTACGTCGCCACACCGGTGAGAGACCTTATCGATGCGATGATTGTGGGAGTAGTTTCGTTCATCGAAGCTCTGCGAAGGCCCATCAGATGCGACACACAGGAGAGAGACCCCACGTCTGTGGAGATTGCGGGAAAGGATTCGTTTCATCAGGTGCTCTAACGGTGCATAGGAGGACGCACATCGGAGAAAGACCCTACAGCTGTGCTGAGTGTGGAAAGAGATTCTCCCATGCCAAGACCCTCAGGAATCATTCATTTCTCCATAGCTCGAGAAAGCCTTTCGATTGCCTCGTATGTGGGAGGGAATTCATCCAAAAACGTGACTTGAGGCGTCACGAGGAGACGCACGCTGTCGAGACCGCACTGTGTTCATAGTGATGATTCTGGAGACGCTGATCATCCCAAAAGCGGATGTGATCGACGCACGGATGCCCCTAGGATGACCCTTGTCAGCCTCGGCCTCGAGTAACGCGTCTCCATCGGTCGAGCCGAATTATGTTCTATCAACATATCATTGGCTTGGAACTTTTCGCTGTATCTGAGAAAGCGGAAGAAGGTTGAGAAAATTCGAAGGTATTTGAGAGGAAAGGCTTCGTTCATCAAAAGCGTCCCCATGGAAACATGGACTGCGGTCTTCTCGCCTGCGCAGGCAGAGTGCAATAAAGATCAATAGGACCGGACATGAAAAACTCTTTTTAACAATGAGCTCCTGTAACCTAGAAGTCTCACCCTCACTTTTACACCGGAGTTCGATGGTTCTCCGATGTTTGACTTCGTCTCGTTCGTTCTGAAGATTTCCGAACTTCAGCCTGCGACCATTACGTCTCCAGAATTCCTTTGAGATGCAAGGGTATCCAATTCTGCGTTACGTCGTGCGCGAGGGGACAAGCGGGAAGGCGGGAGCGAATCCTACGTTGGAAGGTTTTGCCCCAGTTCTCATCATCGTGATTATTTCAGTCCAATGGAGCAACAAACGAGGCGAAAAAGCTTCATTTTATCCCAAATGTGTGGGGATTACTGTTTCTGAACTCGACGAGACACCGCAGGAGGGACTAGGGCTGGACGACCGGAAAAAAGCGGAAGCGAGGAGAGGGTCGCGTTTTCCCTCAGCTCTCTCCTTTTCTTCTGATTCTTCACCAAAGGGAGGGCCGCAGACACTCTCGGGAGGAAGTCGGATAAGTGTCAGAGAATCTGTATCATATCTGCTTTGCTGAGCTCATCTCCAGTTCCGTGGGGTTTACTTTCGGTCCACAATTGCTGTTGACCACGAAATCGCAGGCTATTGCAATGGGGAAAATGCCCAATCAGAATCCCTCGTGAGAAAATGTCGAGAGACTTATTCGGAGAGGATGATGATATCAGTCACGGAATCGCCGCAAGAAAAAGGTCGAATGGAATTGGGCCGCACTGTCGGCAATCGCAACGCACGACAGCGCGGATCGTGCGCAGACGGAAGCTTCTTCCCGGTAGCCTTCGCTCCCGAATTTTCGTACGTTCAGACCGAGCACACGCAGGGCATGTTCTGCTGCCGTTTACCTAATTCCCATCGATATTCAGTGACAGCTCAGTGAAGCCCATAATTACCACGCTGCGCCAGATTGAAAGCGTCTTGAGAATGTTCATGTTTCTCCGAGCGAACCGACTCTTTCCCGGTCGCGATAGAACGAAACCCACCTCGAGGCCTCACCTGTGCATCGCTATTTCTTCGTTCTCAGCCGTAGGAGCTCCTGCTAGAGCATAATGAATTCAATTAGAAGGCGCCTTATAATATTCGAACGGGATTGATGCTCCTTGAGCATCTCGCGGAGACCTTATGGCATGTTCAATTTCCTGTATCGCGCGGCTTCAGTTTCGAAACACCATCGGTCGGAGCGTCTGTCCGGCCACATTAGTCTAGACTGCGCGCCTTGCGGGCCACCCAAGAGCTCGAAAGTCTCTTTCCAGTCGAACGAACTCCATGGGCGTTTTCTGTTTACTTCAATGAGCAATTTGGTGGATTAACGCACCTTTTTTTGCACAACCGTTAACCCGCGTTCAGCCTTGTTCGTCGCCCGAGCTGACAGCCGAGCTTCGGTAGCTCAACCGAATCCTCTCTTACAGAAAACTCGATACGAAGAATACAGAGGGGACTGAGTCAAACATGCAGCATAAACGAGCGGAGTCGTACATATTCTCCTCTGCATAGTCAACGACAGCCGAGCTCGACCAGAGAAGCCTCGAATGACGATCGGTTAACTCGGCGCGGCGGATGGCGAGCCTCGTTGACCAGAAACGTCAACACTCGTCGAGTTCGATGCTGATGATTGTCCTCTTGGATCGCGCAGACAGGAAAACAGCGGGCATCGGTCACGCTTTCGGGTTCCCAGGCGACGGACAGAATCGAACACTCATCGACATCATTGTTCTCTTTTGCAGAGGGGAGTTCCAGTTCAGTGGCATTGGCTACGCGCCGCGCTCCGATTCAACTCGACTTGGCGGGCTCCATCGTCTCTCGCGGTTCGGATCGTCTATGCAAGCAAGCGAGCCAGCGAGGAGATATCTGGTCTCTATGCATCCGCTCGCTCGTACACACACACATTAACTCCCTCCCACTCACCCACCACACGGGCCGGCCACTCAACTTCCCCTCCGTGTGTACTGCTCCTATGCAACGAGATGCATCGAAGGACACCGAATTCGATCACGGACTCTAATCGGGATCCGAGTCGGAGATGAGACGCTCGCATTCTGGAATTTGAGATTTTCCGTTCGAGTTTTCTCTGTGGAGGATCGAATCTTCTTCCTCCGAAAAAACATACATCCCGCTTCGATGTCCGACCATGAGAGGTGGAGTGGGGACTTAGCAGTCCGGTTTGGCGAATGTCGATCGACGAAACAGGCTGGCAGTAGGTAATAAAATTAGAGAGGAAAAAATAGACTCCGCTGTTACGATGAACGAGGTCGTCTCATCATTTCAGAAATTACTGAATCGTCATAGTGAGCCACGGCGACAGATGGCCACCAAGCTAGGCCAGCCGGCTGAACTCGTATGAGCTCCCTCTTTATCCCTCAGCCGCCTGTCGTCCTGCTCCGAACAGCACTCGTTCTGCTTTTGGTCGTTGTTAGCGTTGCTGCTTCTCCCCCTCCATGCTACCCCCTCTCTTCATGGTTGCTGTCCTCATAATCGTCATTTTCATCGTCATTCTTGTCAGCAGTGCGCTGTTGTGCCATCCATAAATAGTCAATGTGAGGATTACAGTTGTTTGAGTGCAATGACTCTCTTCCTCCTCCGCGGCTTCTTTTCGGCTCTCTGTCCCTCTCTGCATGGAGTCTGGGTGCTCATCTCGACCCTAAGCGGTCCACTCAAGAGGTTTCCAAGGAGGCTTAGCTCATCGAAATTGGTTCCCCAGCGAATCGAGTCAAACGCGGAGAATCGGGCGAGATTGAAAAACCCCCATCACCGATGTCATTCCGTTCCCCGCTATGTTGTCGCTTTCTCGGTTGATCTCCGGTGAATATTTCCGTTGAACGTCGATACTCATACGTGCGGTCGCGGACTTCTGCTCGGATCCGAGGGTATAAAGTTCGGTCGCTAGTCTTTCGATCGCTTCCAGTCCGCTCTCTCCTTGGCGGAGCAGTTTTTGTTGCTGTTTGCCTCCATAAGAATTCGGTCGAATCTCGTGGAAAGTCGGTTCGGCATTATACAATGCGAGAAGGAGCGGAGTCCTTCTCGCATTTGTATCGAAGATCATGAAAGAGCTCCGTTCCCACTGGTGTTCGTTGCTGTAACTGGTCACGGTGGTCATAACACTTATGATGCCGATCGCATGCCCGACACGGTTACACTCTCGATTCGTGGAGTGAGTTGGCACCACTCGTTTCCTGCTCTCTCCTCCGATTCCCATGAAGCCCCCTCCCCAATTAGGACACTGAGGCTGTTGCCTCTGTTGTCGAGCGGCAGAAATGAGCGACGAGGTGCTCCGGCAACAGCACCGCCACCCGGTCGCCATCAATTTTGCCACAGATGGCAAGTAAGTCAACCTACCAGCTATGAGCGAGCGGGCAAGCGGACGCTCGGGCAAGGCCTTGACCGAAAACTTCAAATATCCACTCCGATACATCATCCACTGCAGCTTGAAGCCTCGCCAGGTCGCAAGGCTGGTCTTTCTATTAGCTTCTGAGAGCACGATGCAGCTTACAAACAGATCAGTTTCAGGTTTTGAGGTTCCGAGTCTTTCGGGAGAGTGGCAACAATACTGGGGACGGAATTTTCCTAGTGTCCGGCGACGCGAATCATAAACTCTTATATGTATTGAATAATAACACGGAGCATGAAGTGTTGTGAGCAGATAAGGACCCGGACACTTTCTCGGGAGCGCTTCGCCTCCCTAGTGATCTCTCCACTCCATCCCGAGTCCTCGGATCGTTCCGATTCGATACGCGGAAATTCCTCATTCCTCTCCTCGCAGACTTCCGAGCTTCGGCTTCTCGCCTAATGAGGGGTCGTGAAGCAGAGCGAATTCCCACGATGGCTCCGAAACAGCAATACAAGTCAGTACGTGATCTAGCATCCACAAGGACGCTCATTCGCACAGTCTCCTCCTTACTAGCTCTTATCACCCACTCCTCAAACTCCGAAGGCAGAGGATCGTCCATTTGTCGTCGATGATTCTGAGCTTCTTTCAGGCGATCATCGGTTAGGTGGGAGGGCGGCGCGGCGTTGCCAAGCAATAGCTCGATTTTGAGCTCCTGTTCCCACCGTTCGTTGGGGTCAAGCGAAATGGAGAGAGAGCACAGTAGGTTGGTGTAATGAAGTGACCATTCAGTGCTTGTCGAACTCCGTTCCAAGGTTATTTCGAGTCGATTCATAGGACGAGTTCCACCAGTGGAGATTTCTCGATGTTGATCAATGGGTGCTCGTACCCACGACTGTGATTCATGGCCCTCGAAACGGAATCATCGACTCGTGCCGTCACAATCTAATTTTGACTCGGAGTACTCGTTTGCATGCAGATTGATTGGCGAATCTGCTCACTGCGATTTTATTTGATCAGCAGCCGAGTGTGAGGTCGCCAACAGGGAGCTCCGTACCACTGGGCGACACAATCGAAAACCCAAACTCATCCTATTGAGGTCGTGTGGGCATCGTTCCACAAAGATTTCAGAGGTGATTCGATTTGTTCCTCCCTCAAACTCCTGCGAAAGGAGCTCGTTAGCGAATTCCATGCTAACCGGCGAGACTTGGATACGGTATAAAATATCGAAAGAGAAGAAGAGACCGTCAGACCGACTGCTACCGACGTCAAGCCTTAGCCGTTCGACTCTGTAGGAATCGGTATACGTACTCTTGAAGAGCAGTTCTCACGATTGCATTCAGCGTTGAGCATGTCAACGTCCGCTCAGGGTACGATTTGTCGTTCATTGCTTGACTGATCTTCGGTTTCCTACTCATTCGCGGAGCAAACGGTATGACGCGGGTAGAGTCGCGCAGCATGAATTTGTCTTGTGTTATGACTGGAAACATTCGTGAACGAAACAGATCCTACGTGACACGAAGAATTTTTTGATTTCGATCGGTGTGATTGACACGGGCGCGCATCTGTTTCCATCATTTCGTGAAGCGATGACTCTCGCACCGCGATAGACGTCCGAGTGGATTAGCTCGACGGATGATTCGGTGTATTCGGCTCCTCTATGCGACATGGTCCAGAGAATATCCGAGCGTATGCGACGTTCATCCTAGCGAATGACATGGATTTCGGATGCATGCACATTGCTTCGCGCGGGTTACATCTTCCGCCGAATGATTCCATGGTATTTCGACGTGAAACTCCATCAAGTATCCACGACGCAGCCCTAGAGGAAACAGGAGAAGAGAAGCGATTTTTGTTCAAGTCGTAGGCGTTCCACTGTGTTTTAGTAGAAATCCAAAAGCTCATTTCTCAATGACTCTTCCATGCTCAATAATCCGAACAATATATCAGAGTTCGCCAGCTGCGCTCTTATACCCCGAGCGTTCCTCTCGGTGCAATTACGACGAAATGGAGAGAGTATCGAATGACATGGAGTTACCACCACCACCGACGACGCTGCCTCTACTACCAGGACGACGACGACACCAACAACAGCGATGGCGACGAGAATGGATCCATGGGGTAAGCTTCTCGGCTTAGTCATCTGCGGAGAACATTTTTGAATCTACTGTTTAATCTACAGAACACCCTTTGTCCGCCCGGAGTTCTGTCCAAGTGAGCTGTATCAAGAGCTACACTCGAACCTCGAAATTCTGAGGCGGAGCGGCTCTGCGAGTAGCGAGTCACCGCTCAGGATCGGGTGGTGCACGGTCAGGTGATCCGCAATCCTTGGTCCACATACATATTGATGCGGGCTTCTCTTCGCCATCGAATCTCCAGTCCGTAAATGAGCATCGACTTACTGTTTCGGAGCTCGTAATCTATGATCGGAACCAATTTAAATAATTATTGTCGATGGGAAACATGAGACGATCCAATGAGCGGCATGTATCTAATAGATAAGCAATTTCTTAACTTCGGGCACGTTGTAGCTCAGCCGGCTGTATAACCCAGGTATCTGCTTCGGGCTCGCGCTTACAGCGGAGGAAAATGAGCCCACTCTGATGAGACTTACAAATGAATTTGAGTCCCCACTACTCGCCCCTCGAAGGATCCACAGGAGGTCGAACCCTTCGATGCAGTCGGAGCGTGGTGCTACACAACTGCTCTCCTGAGAGTTTGAAGCTTGTGATCGCACCCATCACGATGACCGCGGCACAGCTTAGCGCGATGTCGGCAATGGCATTGATTGCTTAGAATGGTGAGGGTGGAGACCGGAATTTCAGAGAAGTCGCGTATTTCATGAACGTTGCGTCCACTCCACGTTAGTTCGCAGGAGGATGGGATCCTTATAGGCGCGGTGGGTGTCATTGGTGTAATGAGCGGTGTTCGGCGTAAATCATGGGCAAAAAACGCAAGAGTGGCTTTGGGTTAGCTCAAAAACGTCACTTTCGCCACTAGTGGGTATTTTGTCCTGTTTTTGTGAAGTTAGCGAGTCGCAGCGCAGAAGCGGAGGGCAATTAGTGTCTTGTTATGCATGCATGGCAGGTCCTACACTTAGAGGTCCATTTTCGGGATGAGATTGTGGATCGCTCGAACGAAGGTTCGATACAGGTCAACTAAACGCATGAGTCTGATCTAAAACTACTATTGACTGGGCTTGATCGTTGTCCGGGAGATTTCTCAGGAGAATAATAAAACTCTCTGAGACCGCATATATTCGTGAGGTTCTCCACTCGAGGACCAACTCCATGGAGACAGATCGATCGGGCGACGACTTATCGTCGTGGTTCGGAAACGGGGGAAAATGAGGAGCATCAATTATTATTGATCTCCCATCTTATGTTAGCTGGGCTCAAACCTAACTAAAGCTATCGATTATGAGTCCGCGTTCTGAGTTCTGAACCGCGGACTTTCCAGAGGACAATGTCGTGGAGCGAGAGCAAGGGCTTGTCCCAATCTCAAGGAGACCCGAGTTCGTGCCTCGTCCGGAATTTTTAGCTCGGACCACGCCGGCGTCGAATCTCAAATCGCCCGAAAATACCCTCACAATAAAAAATACTCTAAAATAAGAGAGTCCATGCAGATGATTGTGACCGATTCGAGTGGCGCAATAAATTGGAACAGCAGCCCTCAGTCACACTTTTGCAAAGTTCTGGTCCCGGCTGAGGATCCTGTTCGAGAGGAATAGCGCAAAGCTCAATCATGACGACCGCAGCCAATGGAAGTTTGCAGAGGCGCTCGCGGAACTCAAACGGCTCGGGGACCTCTCCCCGAATCTCCACCTTGATGACTCCGATGAGCCTGGCACCGTGCTCCGCCCAAAAATTACGGAATTTCAGTTTCTCGGGAATGAGGCCAGCCATGTCTCTGAACACCTATATTAGCAGAAAGGGAGGTGAGCTCCTTCCACTTCAAGGTGATCGATATTCCTGTTCGTGCCTCTCTCGACTGTGTGCCTGCCTCCATATGCGTGGCCTGGTTGATTTTCGTTTGTCTCATTCATCATCAGAGAAATGGGTTCCGATTCCGACTATTCAGGAGGGCAGAGCTCTGGACCCAAGGACCGTCTCGCCGGTCCAGGCTCTCCTCAGCTCGATATCTGATGTCGTTCCCTCCACGTCATTTTCGAGGATGTCTGCGGACGTTGAGGCAATGCTCTGCCTTTCTGAGGAATGCTCTTCCGCGGAGGCCGAGAAACTCTCCGGCCAGAAGATAGCTGACATTAACGACGACTTCCTCGGCGAGATGGAGCTGCAATCAATTAGGGGCGAATGACCTTTGGGGGTAACGGACATCTCCAATCGTCGAGTTTGATCTGGTTCCATTCCCTGAAATTCATCGGGGATTCCCGCGTTCCCTCCGGAGGGACCCGCGATGCAACCAAACGTCAATGGTTGCTTCATCGTTGCTCGAGGGAGGAGATCAAATCATCGTGAGGGATAAGAGCCACGGAGACTTTGGCTGAACGCGTCTGGGTACGTGAGCCTCGAATGGCCGTCGAGAATTTCACAGAGGAACGGGGTTCGGGAATCATCGGACAAACTTAATATAATTTATTGCTCCTGTTATCGTCTGACCATTTTGACCTCACAGGAGTGTAGTCAAATATTTCACAAAAAATATTTCTCGAATATTTACAATGTATCTTCCGCTTCACACCACGGAAGATCTCGCTTGTCGTCGCGGTTTGCATCGAATCGGACTATTTGTTCTTATTGCTCAAAGTGACGGTGATTCCTTTGGGGAGGATGGAGGCCAGTGACTTCGGTACGGAGGCGTCTTCCACGATCACGCAATCACTATCATCGCTGTCTGCTCCTTCGGCGGGCTCGGCTCCTCCAGAAGTTGTAATCTCGGCTCTTGGTTTCTTCAATTCTTGGAATGTGTCTTGAAGAGAATGCTTTCAATTTATACTCTTCAACTGATGTTCTCCGGCATGGACTTCGCGACTCTCCCAAGTCAGTCAGACGGTCTCTTTCTCGCTGGAGAGCCAATATCGTATGTTTCGTGGTTGGAGAAATATTTTCTTCCGGAAACTGAGCCGGTCCGTTGTCAGCCATACTTTTTTGCGATGATTTTCGACGATCGGGAACGTACTACTTACCCGGTATTAATTTTTTATCGATGCTGTCCTCCAGCACGATCAGCTCGGAGTCCAACGGTCTCTTCGTTCCGATCGAGCTCTTCGAGGTGAGTAAGCTGAGGGGGATGTCCGCTGCCAAGCCATCCAGAAGGAGAGTGGATAGTGGCGGAGATTTACGTGGATCTAACAGAACAGGGTGAAAGGAAAAATTCAGCCGATCGGCTCTTCCACGAAATTGAAAAAGTTCGATAAGGAGTTACGGTTTTCATGTAAGCCAAACTCACGGTGATCGTCTTTGAGAGGACTGCGCTCTGATTTCTTCTCATGATGGTGCTTGGAACCGTCCATCTCGAAAGCTCGTTCTTCAGTGAAATAGAAGGAGAATTCGGATAATCAAATATCAGCAAAGAAAGTATAATTCCTCTGACCTCTCGTCAGGACGACGATCTTATTCTTATCGCACGATTTCATTCGAATCAATCTACCTTGGAGCCGAGCGATGACGCCCATAGACTTGACCACATGAGGCGAGATGGATTTCGGATTGAGATCAATTTTCGGTACTTCTGAACGAGGCGCAGTCGCCGTTTTCACCTCGGTCGAACTCCGAGCAAGACTCGAGTTCGTCGCAGACACTACCGACGCAGACTCTTTCGAGGCTTTTGGGGGCGAAATACGGCTTTGCGAGGGAATGGCTGAAATAAAAAATCCGCCCGAGGTGAATCGTGCCCTACGATCTGATTATTTATCAATAAAATCGCTCAGTATCGAATAATCCAAGATTAGCCTACGAGCTAATTTTGTGGATGAAGTCTCGGTGTGAGCAATGACAGGTGAATTGTAGAATGGATTAGTGGTCGCAAGCATCATCGCTTGCTGTAGAGCTTCTTGTTGGGCCATCTGCTCCTTGAGCGCTTGGGCTTGAGCTTGTTGTGCCGCTAGAGCTGCGGCTCTGGCTGCGTCCTAGAAGAGCGAAGGATGAGTATGTATCTCTGGAAGCCGACGGCTTTCCTCGGCCAACTTCCAACGAGGAACTTACCTGTGCAGCTTTGACTGCCATTTCTTGCTTTAGTTTCGCCAATCTCTGCGCTTCCTGTTGAGCTAATTTTTCTTTGCGAGCTTCCCGAGTAAGATATTTGGAGCAAAACGAGACAGCCTGTTCGACAACAGTAGGCTGCGAGTCCACTTCTCCCAACTTCAAGAGGGGGAGAATCCAGGATTAGAATCAGATATTCAGGATGAGGAGGAGCGAGCGATCGGATACTCAAGGGAGATCGAAATACGTGGAAATTTCGCTCCTCCCGCTCCGGGAGAGCCGCTGTCGGGACTATCGAGACGCTGGAGATCCAACTCACCTTCATTAGCGTATAGCTCTCTCTGAAAACGCTCTCAACTTCCTTGACGTAGCAATTGATCTTCGTGCACTGCTGCCATACGCGGTAGATATTCACCAGACCTTGAACCAGCTCCTGAAAACGAATACCACGATGGAGCTCAGCGTAAACTATCAATTCCGAAAGGCAGGTGCGACGATTCGAGCGAATATATGGATTCAATCAGCGCGACTGACCTTCTCAGAAGGTGGTGGCTCCTCATTCATCAGGGAGCTGAAGTTATCGTTGAGAATTTTCAGGCTCTTCACCATCGCTCGTTTCGAGATCAGGGTCCTGTCGAAGTCTCGGATGTATTTCCTCTCCATTTCGGGTGTTTTGCCCAGCATGAGACCTGGAATGAGATCAGAGCGTGACACGTCTGGAAGATGCGATCGGAGATCCTCATTGAAGATCGCGAGTCGCGAATGCCGGCGGTCGGGGTGTGCGGGCCGCCGATCGAATTCGTTCAACGACGAAGCCACTGAGCAACATTCGCACACCGCGAGAAACGGGGAAAAAAGGACGAGATAATCAAGAAACCATGTCAGCTACCACCACAGAATCTTCACTCCCGTCGGACGTCGCTAAGGAGAAACGGAACGTTCCGAGGGACGTATCGAGGAGAGTCCAAATGAAACTCACTGACTCCCAAGTCCCGGGAAAAAATTCTCTCGCTCCCGATGAGAAATTGAGAAACATGAGGACAGCCGTGAAGCAGATCTTAAGACCATCCCGAAGACCATCCCTCCTCTCGATAAGGAACACTGTCCGCCCCGCGGGAAGTCGCTTCGCCGCGTACTATCCGCAAAATAATTACGAAGTGATGGTCGAAGTGCTCTTCCTGTTCCTCGTTCTCGGAACGATTTGGAATTATTTCAGTCTCGTGAGACTGGCGTGACGTGTGGTCAAAACAACCGGACGAGGTGGAATGCCGAGATGCGACAAAGCGAGGATTCTCTAGGGTATCCTCTCCCTAAAGAATCTACCCGGACGAAAAGATGAGAGCTCAGAGGAATGCGAGAAAATGATGGGGATACGAATTTCAGTGCTCGGAGGACGAATAAAAAATCGCTCGCGGGTCGTTCGAATACCGCGTACGTAACGGAATTTAACGAACCGATTTGCATGAGGGATTCGTGATCGTTGAGACGAATAGCGATCTGAAGTGCGAGTTTCGTCGCCCGGTATAGGTGTGTGGCGAAGCTTCCGGCGCGATCGATTTCGTCAGCCGGTATGTGCCAAACGCCATGGAACAAACTTATAGGTTTTCTTTCGGCGAAAAGTCCAGGCGTGCATAGTCTGGGTGGTTTCGATTGCTTCGCCATCAAGTAATCCAGGGAGAGATTGACGTCCTGATGACGTTTGTAGCGGAAATAGAAATTCGCCATCTGGTAGATCTGCAAGGTAATAATTTTTTGATGAGATAAACTCCTCGGAATGTCTGACACATATATGATGAGGTGGTTTGCTCCACTACACCGGATTGCGCGGACTCACCGATTTGAAATGCGCGGAAAAGCGGAACAGGCACTCCCTGAAAGCTGCCAGACAATACCCAACAAGCTTCTCGAGGATGGTCTCGTATTCCGACATGTCTCTGCATCTGGAAGAATTTTTACTCCGGGATGAGAACCTCGTCATAGAAGAGGAGCCTCGTTCTGCTCCAAATAATTTGTTTTTCATCGGTAGAAATTCGTTGCAGAATGAGAATGGTACCTCCGTTCTCGCTGGATGATTTCGTCTACGTCGGTGACTATCTCATCCACTATGGACTTCACCGCGTCCTCGTCGGACTCTTCCTGCGAGTTGCTCCTGCACAATGGCTCATGTTAGAGACGCACAATTCAGAGACTCACGACAAGTCAGGGTTTCGGATTCGAGGGAAATTAAAACTCGACCCACCTGTTGGGTTTCGCTTTCAACGCTCCGAGGATCGACGCGATGTCGTCCTGAGAAGATGGCCGCTTGCGGGAACTCCTCCGCACAGTCTGAGGGTTTGAGAGTTCTTCGATTTTTTTCTCTTTGCTCTCTCTGAAAGAATATCGCCGGAGCGCGGATATTAATCTCGAGTCGCACGTCGAGAATATCGAATGCGCGGCATGGGGTCAAATCGAAACCTTAATTCGAGCGGCGTCACCACCAGCATTCCCCGAGAACTCGACGCTTACTTTTTTGGTCTACCCGGACCTCGTTTCGGGGTTCGGCTTCCGTCGCTGTCCTCGGCCTCGGCGATCGAACCTTCCTTGAGCTTTTCCCGATGCTGGGCAAAGTTTCCTTCGCTCGCCTCCCTCACGTACTTCTCAAGAATTTGGAGCTCAGCCGGCGAGATCTGTCTGTCTTGATGCTTGATCAGAAACTTCATGGAGAACGCGTGTATTTTGTAGTGCATCTCGAGCGATTCTATCGACAGATGCGCGGGACTGTGGTATATGACTTTTTTCGGATAACGAGCATCCAATTCGTGAAGGTGATAGGCGGCGCTAGACACGTGATGCAGGTACACTTCGAGGGGTTCGCCCATTTTGTGCGTGATTTTGCTCAGCATGTAATGGCACAGCCACTGCTCATCGTTCCCGGTTCCTTCGGCTTCGCAGCGAATCGCTTCGGTGTAGCATTTTTTAGCCATATTGAGATATTCGACTTTTTTCCTGCGATAGTCGGACATCGTCTCCGACGATAGATCCAATTCGCTGCGGAGTTTCATCTGGCGACACAGGAACGATACGATCGAATACGCACACGAGCCGCATTCGATCCAGAGACTCGCGTTGCTTGCGTCGAGATCGAGGGCCTTCTGGAAACAAAATATAGCGCCGTCGCTCCGTTTGAGGACTTGGGAGCCGTCCTTTTTCAAATCGCAGGAGTTCATCCGCTGTTCGATCTGGGCGCTCCTCGACAGGGCCATGCCCGCCCAGGAATCGATCCGCTGAGGATTCACGCAGCTGTCCAGCATGTAGTAGCGTGACGCCTTGATGAAATCCTTATTTTTAAAGTAGTAGTCCCCGAGCAGGTAGTACAGTTCCGAGATGAGCTCCTTATCCGGACAGTTCTCAGGCATTTGCGGCATCTGGCCCGACGAGGAGCTCTCGATGAAGATCGCCATTCTGTCCGCGCAACTGGTCGGGTTGCTTTCGCTTGGGATCAGCGACGCTATCCGCTTGAACAGAGCTTCTGCTTCGGCCGAGATGCCCGGATGTTTGTACGAGTCGAATTCCGGCAGTCGCGGTGGCTTGTAGAACGTGAAAACGTATTTAGCGTGGTCCCAATTCAGTTTCAGAGGGGAGGCGTTGTGATCCTGGACTTGAGTTTTCTTCTTGGTCCTGTCCTGGCCGTAAAGACAGTAGAAGCATTGCTCCAGGCCAGCGGTGAGATCCTCCTCGAACGGATGCGTTCCCAGGGTTTCTCTGAATTCAATGGTCTCGTTCATCATGACACGGACGCAGAGTAGTACAAAAGCACCCTGATTCCTCATGCACCAGTTTCTCTTCCCCAAATACTCATGCGCCGTGAACAGCATCATGAGCGAGAGGGGCATAGCGGTCTCTGCGCTTTTTTCGTTGACGATCCGGTCTTCTTCGTGTTTGATCACATGGTAGAGCATGTTCCACGTCAGCACGGAGGGAATGGCCATGTTGTCCACGGACTCCCGGAGATCCATTTGTAGCGAGATGATCTTGATCAGCGTGTGCGCGAACCTCGACATCTTCTCCGGAGTCAAACTATCCAGCACTGAAGGATGTCTCTCGATCAGTGCGTAGATCTCGTCGATGAGCTTCACCGCCGTCTCCGACCAATGGTACCTCATGTCCTGCTCCGTGGCTCGCACGTACTGATTCAGACACTCGTGGATTGAGGATTCACCCCAGTACAGCGTTTTCTCGTCGTCTCCTAACATGCACAAGGCGTGGTGGAGCAGCAGCAACTGCTCATAGCGGGGTTTAACGCTCGTCTTGGCCTGAACCCGACGGTCGATTTTGAATGTCTCGCTCACCAGCGATACGATTTTATCGTATTGCTTGGCATCGAGAAGATTCTGAAGATCTTCAAGATGTCGGAGTCGATGGATCCCGTCGATGAGTTCCCTGGCGATTTTGGCGGACACGATATTATTGTGCTTGAGATTAACAACCTTGATGCAGTCCACGGCATCGAGGTCAGGCTGCAGGAGGTGCTTCTGCTCCATCACGACGCATAGCTGTTCGAGTCTGCTACATGCCATCTGTATGTCGCCGAAGTGCATGTAGAACCGCGCTTCGAGGTACAGAGCTCGAGCGGTGTAAACCAGCCACTGTTCACCCAGAGCGACTCTTCTGTGGGTTTGACGGTAAACGGAATCGAGCGTGGCGATGTATTCGTTCAGAGGGAACCTCTCGGTGAATTCCACCTGCTCGGCTTTCATGTTGGCGAGAATGTAGCGTTCGAGGAATAACTCGCAAACATTGAGTTCCAGACGAGCCCATTTCAGAACTTCTTCCGTCTTGCTCTCGTCGGTATCGTCCGGTTTCTGGAAATTATGTCGAATGCGCTCGTACAGACCCATGAAAATGCTTTTGAGCTCTCGTGGCCAGCGCTTGTCGTCCTGTCTACTGATGGCGGTCAAGTACTCGAACATGAAATCCAAGGCCGAAGCGTTTTTGTGCAGCTCGAGGAAATCTTTCACCTCACTGGTCTCGTTGTCCCTCAGGTCGCTGACCTGCGAGCGGCGGAATGGAAACGGATGAGTTCGGTTGGGAGAAAGGAAGATCCGGGAATACACTCCCGGGACTAATTCGGTCGACATAATGAAATCATCCAAGACGATGTCTAGCTCATCGGGAGTTGGATATCAAGAGGAAATTAGATCGAATTCCGATATAGGAAGTCATCAATCGTATCTCACCACGTTGGGATAAGCTCTATGCTCAGCGTGCACGGCGGCCTCGTCTCGGTCTCCTTCGAAGACACAAACTTCACTGAAGATCGACGTCGGCAAGAATTGGATGAGGAGTTCGCGGTAATTGACGCTGAGGTCCACTGTTTTCTTGCCTTGACGATTCCTCGCCGATCGCCGCTTCGTGTTCGAGAGAAAGTCATGGAATACCTTCTTTCGACGCTGAGATCGAGAATCTTCGATGAGGATACCGAGATCGTCCAGCAAGGAATCGCTGGGAGTATTATCACCTGATCGGGGAAAAGTCCACTCAATACAACAATTATCTGAATGTCCAGACTTCAGGGAATATTCAGTGCGGTGGCCGAGGTCTTTGATCGAGATCGAGTCTCTGATTTTTCACCTATGAGCATTGCGAGATCGTTGATTTGTTGCGAACTCTCATTATCTAACGAGGAATCAGTCATTTTGTAATCGAAACCCGGTCGAGAGTCATCGGTTTCGTCTTCCTCACTGCTGCTGTCGTCCTCGGATGATGAGTCGAAGCGAAATCTCGATCTCTCTTCAGGAGAAGTCGCGGTTTCTCCTTCAGAGAATTCAATCCTTGAAGGGAGAATCAGAAAATCGGTATGCTAAGGGTATTCAGTCGTCGCGGAGCGCATCGTGGTCGACGGGTCATCATTGAGGTTCTGTGTCACCTTTCCAACAGGAGTGATGGATTGTTTGACGTCGACACGCTATCGTAATGAGCGATAAGAAGTCCGCCGAGTAGGCACCAAGTGAAGTCAGACAGTGTCCTGCGGAGCTTCAGTGAATCCTTCGGAGCAGTTTCCTCCGAGAGCCAGCTCAAGTATTCCCGGCGCTCGTTCCGTATGTTCTCGCACTCCTCCACAATTTCAGCCGATTCCTTGAAATAACGATCGGACACGGGGTCAGGTTTTGCGGATGGGTGCACGCTACACCACAATGAGCCAATCCAATCCAGATGGGGATCTGGTTGAAATCGGGAATATCTCACCTCGGCTGATATATCACAGTCCTGCAAGGCATCCTCGAAGGTTGTGTAGGCATCACGATACATGTCCTTCAGGAATGGCGCATCCTCGAAGATTTTGTCGGCTAGCACAATTGCTTGCTTGAAGCCGGGCTCAGCTGTCAGAGTCCTCCGACAGAACTCGAGACAGTTCGCGTAATCACCTGGATATTCATTTGTTCGACGTATTTGAAAAAAAAACTCTCGCGCACTTGGACCGGGCCAACCGATGTCCAGTCTCGATGTCATTGGTGTTCTCACGAGCACATTCTCGATAAGCCCCACATACCCAGAATATAAAGCACCGATATGAGACGCTCGACGCTGGGCCAATGATCCGGTTTCAGGGTGACCGCCATTTCGAAAGAATTACGAGCCAGTTGCAAGTTCAACATCTGCATTCCGATATCACCGATCCTGAACCACGTCGGTATGTCCTTCCAATCGATCATGGTTGCTTCGACGAAATATTTCGCCGCTTTTCGTAAACGCTCCATTTTGAAGTAGGCATCGCCTAGATTCTTGTAAGCTAAATACTTCAATTGTAGAGATGTGGGGAGCGTCGAACCGGACTCTGCAATGGATGGAGGATGCTTGAGATCGGAAATTGAAGAACAGAAAGCTCAATATAGACTTCTTGACTGTGATAGACTAATCCACTGACTCCGATGAGCTTCCGGATCTTCCTCGTTGAGGTAGTCGAGTTTCAGGAGCTGACGGAATTTCTGGATCCCATCCTCCGGTCGGTCCCCGCTTAGATCGTGGAGCGCGTCTCTGAAAGCAAAGATTGGATTGACCATCGAACGGCATTGAGAAAGGAATATTTCGACGACGAGAACGTTAGAGGAACAATGAGAGATCTTCAGTCGGCTAGGAGCTGTGTAAGCGACGGCTGACGTGACCGGCAGCTCGTTTGCTGATGGAACATCACACGGTGGGGATGAATTCGAATGATCGAGCGAAACTCACCTGTAGAGTGCGAAGGCTTGGCCTTCCTGAGCCTCCCGCGTTTGAACTTGGCATCCGACTTCTTCATTGATAGAGCCACTGCTCCCGTCCGAATTGAGAGCAGCGAACTTCAGCATTGTGATTTCCTATGCCATCACTCCATCATAGAATTTCGCTCGAACCTGAAACTCCCGGACATATAGAACGCTGCACTTTGGGTCGAAACCACCCGCGATTGTTTAGTTTCCCTGCCCCGTTGGGATCGATCGTTCTGAACACTGATACATAGATCGGCACGCATGTTCTCAACTCTCTTTCGAGGAACCCAACAACTGGGTCGAAACAGCTGAGCGGACCTTCCGCGGGGTTCCATGGGCTCGAGAGCATGATCTCGCGTTCAGGAGGCTTTTCGTATGGAGTGAGGAATTACTTGCATCGAAACCATGGCAAGACTCGGGGGAGCCGAATCAGTAGTGACACTCTCCGTCGGAGTAGATGGCTCTTGCGCTGGGTACGGTGGTACTTCCCCCGCTCGTAGCTTACCGGTGCGTGGATCGGAAGCATTAATGTGGAATTCATGAGACTGGTCGGAAATTTTCACCATTCCACGCTGGCACTCTTCTTCCTCCACTCAGCTCTGATCAAGGAGAAAAACCAAGTTCGGAAGTTAGACTCGGAGCACACAAACTCTTACCGCACTAGTCGTAGCAGACGAAGCCAGGCATGTTGATGATCCTTCGTTGCAATCGAGTTTGAAAGGATTCGCCGCCGATCCAGGTTTCCTACCTGGCAAAGAGATGATTCTGGATCCGGGGGGACGAAGAATGCTCCATGTTCTTACAAATAAAATCCGGGTATGGATGGCAAACCGAGATAACAAGGGGGTGGGATAAAATGGGATAAAACCCATCGAGAGAAAATCATGATGTGGATGATTTTTGCTGGGCACCGGGATTGAGCCGGAGGCTGAAGCCCTGTCATCGAGGAATTCCTGTTCAATATTTATCTCTTCCCCCCTCCCAGTGAATATTGATCATGCCCATCAGATCTATGGACGTAAGTCATCAAAATGGCGAGAAGGACTTTCGCCGCGCCAACCCGGGGCGCACCGGGCACGACCCCTTACAGCGATTCGGGAGAGAGAGACGAGCTCGAGAAAAGTGACTGCTGGGATGACTTCCGGAAAAAACGATTGCGGCCGAGCTGCTCGAGTGCCGAGGCAAAGGCATATAAATGAGTGTAATCTTCGCCTGGATGAATCTCTCGCACCGTGAATGATTCTATCGAAATCCAACGAGGTAGCGACGGAGGCCATCCACACCGTCTTGAAGGTTAGGTCCCAGTAAGCCGAAAGTTTCTCGCCGAAACCCGGAACGCCGAAACCCATCACGCCGAAAGTCAAGAAAGCCGAAACCCAGCACGCGGATTCTCAGCATCTTGGCTCGCGGAAAAGCACAGGCGTTGCGGTCAATGGGACGATAAGCGCATTTGAACTCCGACAGCGTAAGTGACGGGAGACGATCAAGTTCAGTTTTTGCTTCGGAAACGGAGGAGCCTTCCCCGCGAGGTAAAGGCGTTCCTCTCGTTGAAGAGCTGACGGGTGTCGTGAGATGTGCGCTTTGTGGGAACATCTCGGGGCAGACGGAGCACGGGTATGGTCTCGCACCACCTTGAAGACGATCGTTGATCTGCAAGTTTGTCGAAGTGACGAAACTCTGCGAACACACAGAAGAGCAGGAGAAAATCTTTACTTCATCATGACGCGCGAAGTGCACTTCCTGCTATGACTCGGTCGAGAGTCGGGGGGAGCCGAACGCAGCTCTCCCAAGGACACTTGTAGCTTGTAGGTTTTTCGGCATATCCCAGAGTCGTGGAGGTGGATTCTTCCATCGAACTCAGTCAGGTCGGCTCCCGAGAGGCATCGAGACACCGAATCGTGTCAGGTCGGCGTCGCACTCCACTGTGCACGCGAAATGCGCGACTTGCGCGCTCGACGCGATTCCTCGGTTTACGATTTCTGTTCGAGAAATCGATACTCCCAGAGCCCCGCTTACCGAACCTAACCCGTTTCGCGAGGAGCTTCGCTAAGCGGATAGTTCGTTAAGCAGAACAGAATTCTCCTTAGGAACCCATGTTGAAGAAGTTAATCCGTTCCGTGAGAACATGATGGCTCGACGAAAAACTCTCAGTCGCAAACATGGTCAAGTTCATTTATACTTCATTGAACATAGCTCTGTTTCATGTTTCATCATACGTTTCGAAATCTCTGGACTCGACAATTGCCCCGAAGAATCGATCTAATGTAGTTTGACGTTTCCTCGACCGTGGGTGTGACTTGATCTCGTCGATTAAGTTTCTGTTCATGAGATCCAACGTTTGTTGAGTAATTGCGGTTCCAAAGTACCATTTGAGTAGTAGATATTATACCTCCTCCCAATGACTTATGATGTCTCTCAAATCGGTCGCTGAGGCTTCCTCAAGGCCGACTTTGTCACCATACTCATCGCTCGGTGAAGAATGCTCGAGATTTTCCTGTTTTTTTCGCGCAGGTCTCTTAGATCTTCTTGGATCAGGTTTCCATGGGGCTCGACAATGAGCTCTCGGGATTGCGGTGTTCGGGATATCAGATTCCGGATATCGGTCTTCGAGATTTCTGATTTCGGGATATCGGAGCGATCCCGACTGCCGCAACCCCGAATGCCGGGATCATGAGCGCGTATACGTTTCTTTTCTTTGGGGGGGAGGCATGCTCCCTACCATCATTGACGCTTCTGACTGCAATCCAAATCGAGGCAGATTGAAACAAAATCACAATCGGACAATGCGAGTATATACTTCCATGTTATTTACTTCTACGGCACCAGCGAATGGTGTCAAAAGAAAGATTGAACCTGACGCTATGAATATACTGGATCAACGAAATCTGATTGGTCTCGAAAAGCTCAGCAAAAACTCGGTATTTCCGGTACAGCTCTTCGAACTTCTTTCTTTTGCGAGGCGGCTTTCCTCCCATACACAACCGTAGCATGTCTTCCTCGCACTTCTGCTGCTGTCTCTGAAGGAGGCTGATGACTTTGGAGATATTCCCGTGCTTCTCCCCGAGCGCGGAACTGATGCCTTGATGCCGTCCTTCCTCATGGTTTTTTTGTACGGGCCCGAAATTCCCGAAGCGATTCCAGAGCGTGCGGGGGAGCACTTGTGAGTGGTCCTCTAAGCATGTGGGAATGAAGTACTCCTTGATATTTTCTAGCTTCGAATAGGCGGGGTTGTCTGTGCTCGAGGCCTCTGCATTGACCTCCAATCAAGCCTAATCCAACAAGTTCAACGGCAGCAAGGCGAGGACACCCATGGATCGCACCACGCATCCCAGTCCGGGTTCTCTGTGGTGCCGGCTCAAACCGAATTCTTGAACCTTCCTCCACAAACACTGTGGGAAATGTAAGTTGCAACCTTTTAGACCCGCATTCGGTAACTCTCGTCTAATCGCCTTCGGAGTCGCTACTTCGAAATCGAGTTGAAAGACTCTTGGGTCGGAGGCAACTTATGGAAGCAGCCGGAGCCTTGAGAAGGCAGATCATGCGGCGGAATGTTGCTTCCTGCTTGTTCGGGAGCAGAAAATACACGAACAGAATCATTTGACCCACGGAGAAAGCATGGAAGGTATAGAGTTGTAAGAAAAGCTGGTGTACAACGCGGATCGTTCCGACCCTGAAATCAGTCGCTGTTCCGCATAAGGTCGTCATCATTTCTCGCGCCGTAAACCCGAGAATTCGGTCGGTCGTCCCATCGATGATCAACAGGGGAGGCCGGCCGTCAGCCGTCTGTGTCCAAGCATCTTGCAAGACGAGATCTGCGAGCGAGCTTGGCTGAGGAGGTCGCACTCTCGAGCGCGCACGATTCAGAATGGTTGCCACGGAGTCGAAGGTAGGTAATGCAGCGCCGATTTGGTCGTCGGAATTAGTACACCGCAGGTCCCTCAGGGAGGGACCGGGCTCGGACTTCACGATATATATGCCGAAGCTTCTTTAGGGTGCGACCGTGACACTTTCTTCCATCTTGAGCCTCACCGAACTCTTGATGAGCTCTTCATCTTCAGCTTCATGAAGATGAGCCCCTGTCTGCCTCTCAACAACGACCCCAGACCCAGACTCGGCTGAAATCTGATAATTCAGTCGAGGAAATCGAAGGTGAACTCGAGTTTGAGGCTCTAGATATGGATGACTCGAAGAAGAAGTGATAGGAGAAATACTCGAATACCATGCCGAGAATCGCTCTGGCCGGACAGCCTTCTGACTCCTTCTTTAAGCAACGACAGGAGAATTTGCCTCTCCTCTTCTTTTCCACCTCGTAGAGATATTCACTGACACAATAAAGGATTTCCCTCTCTTCGAATCAATCTCTCTCACATCCTTGAAGGATTCCAAGATAAGCTTCCGCGGTCGACGGAGTTCAAGAAAAGTAAGGGGTCTGATCGGCAAGACAACTGTGGGAAATATCAGGGACACTGTTCATACCTCGTCCACTCTCCTTTTTTTTCTTTCGGGCTGAACCACACAGCCAAGGTTTAACGTCCCGGGTACCGTCCAGGTAATGTCCTCGTCTACTTGGATGAATGGAAAACAGCGACGCGGGTGAGCTGCAGCGCCACCTGGCGTAGATTGGCATCAATGAAACTCCATCGTCCGGCAATGACGAGGCTGCCTCGAGACTGCAAAATGTTCGCAGACTCATAGCGCCGTGATCTCAAGACTTCTCTCTCCAGGCCTTGAATCATTAGCTGTCAGACTCGCCCCGTGCCGCGCCGTTAATTCGAAATTTAGATTTCCCGCGGGCTCTGATTGGGTCCGCGTCCAAAATCGAGTTACGGATTACGGACAAGTCATGGTTATATGTTATATATGTGACTAGCGTACCCGGCCGCGCTGGATCGGGTTTAGGGAAAAAAAGTGTCATGGCTTACCCTCATTGATTTTCGATTTTACATCCGATAACGATGTCTCCCCACTCCTGGAAGCTGAGGTTTTCGAAACACGCTATCGATTCTAATCATTTCCAAAGGGAACCCTAACCGGAAATACCTAAAATCGATTCTGAGCAAAAAAGTCATGGGGTATTCTCCCCAAAAACCGATAGACGG